GTTTTGGATGGCTTTCCACTACAGATATAATGATATAAGAAGTTACTGCCTTATAACCAGCAAAAAATATACTGTTTGAAAAATACTTTTCTTTGCTTTTTCATGGCAAAATATGTAGTTGTGGAATAATGAAAGGATCAAGTGAATTCACTGGGTAACTAGCATTCGTCAAGATTACCACTTACCCTGTGCAAACGCTTCCTGCACATCCCCTCCAACTCCGGATAGAGAGTCTTGAGGACCATGCGTTGGTGTGGAACAAGCAGACGTTGACCTGACTGGCATTGGCATGGGACGACTGGCACTATGGCTGGGCGATGAACGAGGAGAGCCAGCTGCTTGAGCCTGTCCAATGAGAAAGTACAACAATCTCCATTTCAAAATCAGTTTGTACCATTTTATAAACAAAGGATGCAAATAGTCATCACCATTTCCCAAAACAATTTGCCATACTTCATCTAATGACACCACAAAGAAAACAAAAATTACATGATGATTAATTTCATTCTTCAACCAAACTAGATTCATTCAAGTTAAGGTTAAAGAGCATGTCAGACCTTGCTTGATAACAATCTTGATCTGCAAAAGATCTATCTGAATGTATGATGTAACATGCAGAATTACTGTTGATGGTTATTTAATCTAACTTGCAGAATCACAGATTCAGCAAAAAAATTTAGAATCTACCTCTCCCTCCAACATTTGAAACTACCTCTCCCTCCAACATTTCGAAACTACCTCTCCCTCCAACAGTTGGATGAGCACCATGTCGTGGGTGGAGCTTCAGATCTCCAAAACCCTAAAAATGTCAGCCACTTGTTTTGTATTGTTACATTTTGATTATCTATAAGAAAAATAGTTTCACTAATTATGTTTCATGCCAAATACCTCTAAACAAAATCATCCGTGTTCCATTAAAATGTGAGGAAAACCCTGCCTTGTATAATTCTGGCTTCTACATCCCTCTTTAGGCCTCACATGTTAGTGTTCTGGTGCAGGAGGGTTTTGTTACTCTTTAGCATTTGAAGCACAAACATCAGAGCTAAGAAGTCCGTTAATTCTATTTGTGGAACCAGGCTAATAGCCTTTCTTAGGCATTAATAGAACCACAGAAAAAGCGATTGCAAGGCTGTCTCATGGCAACAGCCTGAAAGACCCACTTTGTCAATATATTCTCAGCCTCAGGCATATGGAAATAGGCCAGGTAGCAGATGGCTAGCGGGTACAATTAGTCTCATTTTGCCGTGGCAGACTGAAAAGGAATAGCTAATAATTCTGCTCACCTTTCACCGTGAGTACTGATGGACTTAACAGTTACTTGTTGCTGCTAAATGCTCTTGCTGATTGAACTGTTTGTCATGAAATGGCCACAATATACAGACAGGACTTTAAAGGGATAAACAGAGGTGACCTACTGTCTTAAATATTGTGGTTATTATAACAACTCTTAGAGGTCATGGTATCACTTCTGTACCATAAAAGAGAGATTTATATCTGTCTTTCCTCTCAGGAAATATGCAAAGCTGTTGAAAATGACCTACAGTGAGAATAGTTATTGCTTACAGAAAGCCCAAATCACTTGATGCTAAAGATAAGTTGGTACTAAAAAATACATGAAGTTAACCCACCACTAAAATGGGAGACTGTGTTTGAAATTGTCCATAAATTGCTTTAATGTAAAGTAAATGGTTGATAATAAAATACAGAGAGATCCACTGCACTAAAATCTTTCAGAATCAACTGGGGACTACTTGGAATAAATCTTGCTTAAGGACTTTGTAAAGCATTAGTATTCCTTGTGGAACATGACTGCACTAAGGACAGAAGATTAAGTAGCCATTGTCACATAACCTGAAGTCACAGCAATTGCAACGCAAACAAAAAAACCATATATTTGCACACAATGAGCTGCATATTCAAACACGAGTAAGTTGGTGAATGCTAAAAGGCTATAAACTAATGAGAGGGGGGTAAAAATGGACTGTTCAAGCTTTATTTTTCACAGTTAATCGATCTGAATCTTGCTGAATCTATAAATACTCTTAGATATTCATTACTCCTTACCTAATTTTCAGTGTGATGCATGATCTGAACAATAATTGGCATGTTAATTTCTATCAGGGCAATGGGATGACAATACAATTGATCACAATTCTTCAGAGGTTAAGACGGGAAAATCAGAATAAATCAGGACATCTGCTCAAGTTAGTCATCTCACTGAAAATTTCAAAACAGGGAATTAGCTGTGATGCCTGTCTCCCCATAACAAACAACATGTTGACTTTCACTAATGAAGAATTGTAAATGATGAATGAGCTGTTCACATGAAGCACTAAAGATTGAATGGTGCCAAAAAACTCACAACTTATGACAAGTTGGTAGATTTATCTACAGATTCTAAAGGTTAAGTCACAGGAGCTTAAATTTGTTTGAAATTTTCAAGCTACACTGTAGAATGTTGGCATTATGTTGGCAAAGCATTGTAAGAGGCACTGCATCACTCTGCATGCCATCTCTCAGATGAGATATTAAACCAAGGACCTGTCCTGCATGTTCCGGCAGCTTAGATTAAAGTTAATGATCCCTGAATTATAATCAGAAGAATGATGGATTCTCCTAGTGCCTTGGCTACAATTTCCATTGAACTAACATCGTTGAAAGCAATTTTGAGTTGGCTCATTTATCTCACTACAGATTGTAAAGATATTGTTGTTTTTGTACACAATGACAACGATTCCACATCAAAATAATTTGTGACATAGGAAGGTCTGATGGCAGAAGAGAAATGCCAGATGCTGAGGTGCTCATTTGAGCTGGAGTAAAAAGCACCTACATCATTCTGAGATGTTGGGCTGGAGTTCTGGCTTGCAGCCAGAATGGACAACACTCGCTTACTGAGCCTTCTCTGGAGAAGTTGAGACTGGACTGCATTCTCATTTCAGTCAAAGGAAGCTCAACAGGAAAACTCTGAAGGTGTTGCTTAAGTGTTTTGACCTTGACATTGAGTTCTGAGAGAAGCTTGCCCAGGATCTCTGTGCCTGACACAACATAATAAAGCAAGGAACAGACTGCTTCAAAAGCAACAGAACATCAGGGATAGAGCGAAAATGTACAGAAAAAAATCCTGGTCTAGTAACGGATCCAAAAATTCAATCATCAGGAATGTCCTGTTCTATTTGCAGGAGATCCTTCGAAGTGCAGATCTATCTTAGCGATCACGTTGGTATACACCAGAACCGCACCAAATACATGCAGATGACAGACAATGACAAGAAAACACAACAACGTCACTACTTCCTCAAGAGGCTAAGGAAATTTGGTATGTCCACAAGGACTCTTACAAATTTTTATAGATGTACCACAGAAAGCATCCTGTCTGGATGCATCACAGCTTGGAATGGCAATTGCTCTGCCCAAAACCACAAGAATCTACAGACAGTCATGAACAGAGCCCAGTCCGTCGCACAAACCAGCCTTCCATCCACTGACTCCATGTACACTTCCTACTGCCTCGGGAAAGCAACCAGCATCATCAAAGATCCCTCTCACCCCCCAGCCATATTCTCTTCCACCCCTTCCATTGGGCAGAAGAAACAAAAGTTAGAATATATGTACAAACAGGTTCAAGATCAGCTTCTTCCTCACTCTTTGGATACAAAATTGGCTTGAAGGTAGGAGACACAGGGTGGTGGTGGAGGGTTGTTTATTGAACAGGAAGCTTGTGACCAGTGTGTGCCACACGGATCGGTGCTGGATCAACTGTTTTTTGTCATTTATATAAATGATTCGGATGCAAATATAGGAGGTATGGTTAGTAAGTTTGCAGATGACACCAAAATTGGCAGTGAACAGTGAAGAAGGTTATTTCGGACTATAACGGGATCTTGATCAGATGGGCCAATGGGCCGAGGACTGGCAGATGGAATTTAATTTAGATAAATATGAGGGGTTGCATTTTCCTAAGGCAAATCAGGCCAGGACTTATACACTTAATAGTAGGATCCTGGGGAGTGCTGCCAAACACAGAGACCTTGGAGCGTAGGTTCATAGTTCCTTGAAAATAGAGGCACAGGTGGACAGGATAGTGAAGAAAGCATTTGGTACACTTGCTTTTATTGGTCACTGCATTGAATATAGGAGTTAGGAGGCCATGTTGCGACTATAAAGGACATTGGTTAGGGTCCTTTTGGAATACTGTGTTCAATTCAGGTCTCCCTGCTATAGGAAAGGCTGCAGGAAAGATGTTGCCAGGGTTGAAGGGTTTGAACCATAAGGAGAGGCTGAATAGGCTGGGGCTATTCTCCCTGGAGCATCGGAGACTGAGGGGTGACCTTATAAAGGTTTATAAAATGATGAGAGGCATGGATAGGATGAAAAGCCAAGGTCCTTTTTCCTAGGGTAGGGGAGTCCAAAACTAGAGGGGCATAGGTTTAAGGTGAGAGGGGAAAGACAAAAGGGATCTAAAGGGCAAACTTTTCAAACAGAGGGTTGTGAGTGTATATAACAGGCTGCCAGAGGTGGTGGTGGAGGCTGGTGCAATTATAACATTTAAAAGACATCTAGATGGGTATAGGTTTAGAGGGATATGGGCCAAATGCTGATAAATGGGACCATGTTAATTTTGGGTATCTGATCGGCATGGACGAGTTAGATCAAAGGATCTGGGTTTCTGTGTTGTATAACTCTATTACTCTCTGGCTGAAACACTGTATTCTGCATGCTGTTCTGCTACCCTGATGCACTTTGTATGGCCCGATAGCAAGCAAAACAACACTTTCCATTGTATCTTGGTACATGGGACAATAATAAATCAAACCCAAACTCGAAGGATGAACAGGAAAGAAAGAAGCCACTATTAAAAAGGTGATCTTTCTAAAAATTACCGAATATTCTAGAATAAAGCATCTCAGGTACTTCACCAAAGGATTATTTGGACATAACTAAGAGTCACAATGATCAAGCATTTGGATTGAAAAATATTCACCATCTGCTTTTTGCTTGTTATGACTCATACAGAATTTCTAGCATTAGTTGATTGCTATACAGAAGTTGAAAATTATGAGCTTTAAGGAATCAGAAACAGTTAAACCCAGAAATTGTATTCAAGGAGGTACATTACAGAGATTGGTATGTTTACATGAGTGAACTACTGTAGCTCTTTCCTTTATAATCTTGAAAGATATTAAGGTTCCCATTGTAAATTTATCTAACGTTGCCCAAGAAAATAAGATTAAAAAGAAATTGCAACATGTGCATTTTTGATGGAACATTTTGCTGTAGTTTCTTTGCATTACACTTTTACTGTCTGCACTGTAAATTCTAAGCTTTTCATGTTATCATACATG